CTATATATATTTATTAGTATTCTTTACCTTTATACACTAAAGGCTAAAGCCTCTTTTAACTACCTATAACCTTACTCCCCTTATTATAATAGAAATCTAGTATCCTTAAAGACAGACAAATAAGTTAACAGAGGCTGGGCATCTTGGCGGTGGTTAGTCGCAAAGATTGCAGCTATTGTTATAACAGTTAAAGTGTTGGGCCAACTACCTATGTCGAGGTATTGGGGGGTTCTACAAATGTAAGAAGTATTTACTTAAGATTAAAACATTAATTACCTTGAACTTCTGCTTAATTATAGTTAACCTCATGATGTAATTTAAGTAATGATTTAGGGGTTGGTGTTGTAACTTCTGTGCGGTTGTGTTTAGGGTAGTGAACATGGCTCGTCAAAACGTTCGCCCACTTCTCTTGTTTCTACATGAGCGCTTGTTATCTTATCTTAGGACATTCATCGGCAACATCACGCAAGTATTGTATTAAATCAATAACAACCCGTACAGTAATTACCACCACTAGCCTCAGATAATATTTAAACCCTCACCATGGCTCGCCGTAGCCGACAGCTATCAATGTATGTTAATGGTCGGCTCGGGGCCTGCATCGCTCCCCTGTCGTGCGCGTATAAAACGCGACGCGCCATGACGCCTAACAATTCTACACTATTCTGAGTCCGTCTTAGTTCAGCTTCGGCATAACTTCCTTCCGCACCAATTTCGAGCAAGGGTCAGTCTTCACAGACCTCCTCTTTTAAGGCTACGAGTTCCACTTAATCTGAATAGTGCTTACAACAAATAACAAATAATAAACACAATTATCTCGTCTTGACAAAATAGCTCAAAATGGACAAAAGATCCGCTGCTGCATATACCTTGGTGAAAGGAACAGGTATGGTCTCAGCCGGTATTCTTCCTCAGATTAACTAATTTCATCTACAGGTTCCCTACAGCGTACGTGGTACCTTTACCATCGCCTGGGTATCTGGTCCAACATTCTGGTTTCTGCGCGATATACCAGCGCCAATGGAGAAGACCTCAGCAAAAATGCCATCATTGGAGCACTGCGTCTTGTTGTACAGGCTCATCCTGCCTTATGGCATGTCTTTGTCCAGAGACCATCTCCCAATCGAGGTAATCACGAGCTACACACCGCTAGGCTGCACGCTATCGACTTGGAGAAATGCCTCGAATTCTTAGATTGCGACCAGAGCAATCCTGAGGTCACTTCTAATGATCTTGAAAGAGCCCATAATGAGTGGTGGTGGACTGCTGATGAACCCGATCGCCCATTGTGGAAGCTTCTTGTCAAAGGAAACAACATTGTCTTTGTCTATCATCATTCCTTGGGTGACGGTATATCTGGGATGGTCTTTCATCGTGAATTTCTCGCCGCGCTTGATTCCCTCACGGCCACAAAGACTATGCACATCGCGCTTCCTGATACTCTCATTCATGCAGACGAGAACGTTCAACCCCCAATCGAACCGGAAGACGTTTGGGAAGGGAAAGACAGCATCTTAGAGATAATATGGACACAGGTAGTGTGGCTGTTTGTTAAGCTATTCTACGGCAACAATCGTATCTATGGCGATCTTCCCCCATCTAAGCCTCACCTCAAGTCTGCAACTGCAGTGGCAAAGCCAGAAGAGAGAACCCTCACACGCATTTCGTCGTATCGTATCCCAGCAGAAGACATGTCTTCAATACTCAAAGCATGTCGCAAACATCAAACTACCTTTACGCCTCTGCTCATTACAATGTTTACCATTGTCCTTAGTACTGAATTCTACCCGAACGCAAAGATAGGAGCAACACGGTTCAATTTCGACTTGAGACCCAGCCTTCCCATGGCTCGTGTTGGTGGGGGAACAGGAAATGGGACGTTCGTGAATGCAGCAGGAAGCTGGCAGCTCTGGCACAAACTTGGACCATTCCGTCAAGTCCTGGTCGGAAACGATGCCAAGGAACCTTCGCTCGACTCCCACTCTGTATGGAAGCTTGTAACGGACTATAAGAAAGAGATGACACGTGCTATTTCTGGCCAAGCTATACGTAACTGGATCGGGGTGAAGCGGCTGGGAACTGACTTGGAAAAAGTGGTTGACAACGGATTTCCATCCATCTCCCTTCTTCTCAAGCCGACTTTCAGCGTTTCTAACGTTGGCTCCTTCGATAATGCTCAGGTGGAGTTCGATGGGAAGAGTACAGGGCTTTGGCGGATTGATGATATGCAATTCTCAGCTGGAGCGGTAAATGGCAACCAGGGTACACACGGGGCTATCTTTCATGTTTGCGGTGTCAAAGGGGGGGATACAGTTATTACCGCGACTTATGAGCATGGGATTGTTCCGCGGGACATGGCCGATCAGATCCTGGAGCGTACCGTTACTAGAATGCTTCAGATAGTCTAACATAATATGCGTTCTTGTGTCCAAATAACCTCCTATATCTCATGGCTTGGTCCGCCTTTATTTTATCCGTTAGCTAAGCGCCATGTAAATGGCCGACGCACTGGGACGCTGAAACCAGTTCAGTCGTTGTAATCGCTTTTGAGATCTAAGACGTTCATTCTGCTGGCTTTGTTGTATAACACAAGGCATTTACATCCGATTCTACCTTCAACCAGCAGCAAGAGGATTAGTTGCCACTCTGGAGTCGCAAACGTCTTTGTAGGAAAGGATCATCCTTACCGTATTCCGCATCGGAGTCTCGAAACGCAAGCAACAATCGGCACATGCTTACATGCCCTCGGCCCTTAATCAAGGGCCGTTCTAATTATAGTTAATATGAAGCTAATTCAGACTCCCAGGACCTTCTTTTTCTCTTACGCAGTCCATCAGCCAGGGCCAAGACTGTGGAGATAGCAAAGTCATGGTAGTGAAGATTTCAAGGTCAAGAGGCGCCCACGGATACGTACTCGTGTAGAGATGCAAATTGGTGCCATACATGATTCGTGCTAGGGTGGCAAGAGTAAGTCTGGATTCAGGATCTGAATATCGACGATTTGCAACGTCAACAGCAAACACTATTTACATTCCAACACGTTACTACTCTATTCCTGTATGTATTGCTTGGTAATGGGCGGAAAGCAGAGCTCCTCGAGATGCTGATAACCTCGCAAAGTCAATTCCTCAGACTACACTTCAGGCATAGTCAATTTCTCTCTCCTCCCCTTCAGCGTAATACTCGTGATTGCCCATAGCCTCTGTCTCAGCCCTAAGAAACCCGTTTATTTCTTCTTCCTGAGGACTTGGGAGGTCACTGGATTCAGTGTAAGTGTAGCCGCAGCGCCGCTTCCGTCTGGCGGAGCGTCGGAGGCTACTGCATGCTTTGAGTTGTCTTCTTCCATTGACAACAGTGAAGTAGTAGACCTCGCGCATCTTGCTGCGCCAGTACTCGAGCATTCTCTTCAATTTCTTCCTGTCCTTATTAAGCCAGTCGGCTGGATACTGCTCTTCTTGCGGGTCAAGAAACCTCTGTTGGCACACTGCAAAGTAGTGCAAGTCATCGTCATGCAAAAGGCTGTTGAGCAGTGCATGTCCAGTATTGCTGAGACGTTCGAGTTGACGTCCACGTCGATATATGTCCATGCGAGGAGGCATGGCTAGTGTTCGTCAGTGAAGAATAGGCTGGTAATTGTTGAGAGTAGTTTTGGACAGATGTGTGTCTGAGGCAGTTGGGTGGATGATGTGGATGAAAGGGAGAGAACTTGGGGGGAAGAGAAGATATTTAAATGGTAGGTATTCGCGAATGCATCCTGAGTTCTAGTTAACTTGTGCAAGCAGTAAATTCAATATCGCGCTTTCTTCTCGTTTGTCTACTAGGCAACATCGCAACAGGCTCTTTGTTGACCAAGATGTCTGTGAAGAAACTACGAGCTACGAGGAATATTCACTCGAAATACTTCTTCAATACTTTCTTATGTGAATGAAAACTTGACATGAACCAAGCTTCACTATGAAGGCGGCCGGCGGGGGTAAGGCAGCCTCTCTTTCAACAAGCCATTCACCTTTCTAGCCCTTTGTCACCCATTACTTCAATCAGGGGGTTTCTTCAATTCACTGGATCAGTAAACCATTTCCCTTTGTTCCCACAGAACTGTATTCTGAGGCAACTATCTTTTCGGTTTCCAATGCCATTTCCTCTTATGATACCACAGAGTCATTGACTTTAGTTAGGTGTCGCAAGAATTGCTAGCGTATTTGACTAAAACTAAAAGCCCTTATCATATGTCCCAGTAAGTGCCATTACCCACGAAAGAGCAGCATGATATACCGGTAACAAGGAGAACCACGATTGAGACGTTGCCTTTCGCCGCCGGCGGCCTATACCATTGCTCAAGGCCATAGAGTTTTTTTAACTTGCATCGACACGTGGAAGTCCAACAGGTTCCTTATGATCTTATTCTGAAACACTTCTGAGTAATTCAACCATTGATGGATGTCCAATTGTCCATACTTCTGAGCCTAGGATAACAATCCGTGTCCGTCACATCCTGTAAGATTAGGCTCCATTCTCTGTCATCAGCACGTTCTTCAAATTCGCTTAGCAGCACAATATCCTCATGTTGCCCTCCACCAGCTGCTCATCAAATTGTCGAGTGCAACGGCCACGCGTTCTGTGATTTCAGTTGCTTGGAGGAGCTCACTCGCCGTTTGCACACTGTGATGTGATTCAGTGCATACCCTCCATGTACGTCTCAGTACCAGTTCTGCGTGTTCCCAGTGGTCCCCAAGACGCAGCCTAAAGCTTAAACCTATAGGCCACAGTAATCCTCTAGACATCAAGCGGCAATATCAACAAGGACGTAATGCACTGTAGTGCTTCTTCGCTTGATCCAAGCCCCTTTGAAGGAAGACAGTGGCGAGCTGAGATGCTAACTTTCTTGTCAGTAGAAGACCCAATGTCGATGACCCTAAAGTAGGCTAAGATCCCCAGAATCCACTCCAGGAACGTCATACAGATCTTGTAAGGGAGTTTGTCGTAAGAGTTGGCCAGATGGCGATGGAGTTAGAGTCTGATTCACCATGACTTTAGAAAACGTGAGCATTGTGCTTCCTACTAGCCAAGCTAAGGACATTTTATGCAATTTCGCACTCTGTTGAAACAATCTTCCATGCTGTGAGTTCGGTTGCGAGAGCTACCCTTAGTAGTGTTTCCGCACTTCTCAATTCAACTGCCAGGTCGTATTTCAATAACGCTACCCATGAAACCAGGAGACCTTCTATGACCGTGTGGCTTTGCCGAGCCCATGTCCACTCAATATCAGGGTGACGGAGATGTAAGGGAAAGACTAAATTTGTAAACTTGTTATTGTGAGGCACCTAAGTAATGATCTCACATTCATAGCTCCAAGACATAGACTTGGTGGTTTTCCAACTTTCCTTTACTCCGAACCCGTATAGACATATAATATTTGATGCAGATCCAATGGCGAAGGCAAGACTCCGCGCAGTATAGCAGTCCTAGTCGATATCGTGCTCGCTTAGCTAAGTCCTACGAGTCGCGTACCGTAGTTTAGTATCATCCGTACATTGGCTGCCTTGTCTTTGTCGTCATATGGAGAACCTGCCTTCATTCACTCTCTGTCGTCGAGTACTCCAGATACTCTCCATGGAGACAAACCCGAGAGCACCCCATATTTTGTGCCGCTCTCGATGGTGGATCTGCGTTCAGTCTAGCCAGGTCAAGACGAAGTTTAAGCCAGTCTAGCTCGTACCCAGTTATGATGAGGCGAATTTGTGCAAGGTAATTGTCATGTGGTTTCAGGCACTGCATTCGAAGGGCCACTTGTACGAACTCATAAGCAGAGTTGCTCCAAAGTGAGCCAAAGAGACTGCGAAGTGCAGGTCTCGTAAGCCAGTGAACTTCAATGTGAATCCCGTGACGGTGATGTTAACAGCCGTCCAAACAAGTAGTTCCGAATGGTGCCATTTCTTTTACCGAGGTGGTATACTGCTGCAGGGCTCGTTGTGATCGCTGTAATAGAAGGGAGTGAATACCTGGCCTCCAGGTACTTGTCGACCGGGCTGTACCCAATAAATTGTGGGCGGGATGCTCCGCTTGGTGTTCTTCGAGGATGGCCTGTGAAAAGCTGTCTCCTGGGTGTTCGTCTCTATCAGATAACCTTAAAGGAAGATGCCCAAGGATAAAAGAACCGTGCCGGTCATTAGTCAAAGGATAGACGTAAAGTTCCGGCTGTGTCCCTCCTTGATCCCCTTGAAGCCTGCAGATTGGGTGCATATCGTCTGAGATAAGGGTGCAGCAACTCCAGCGAGCCTGCTTAGAACTTAATTAGGCTGCTTCATGCTTTGCTTGGAATGAGAATGGCAGGAATACCCATTCTAGCAATTGCCAAGCAATAAAATTCATCGTGGTGTTATATTGGATGAAATACGAAGCTTCCGTCTCTATGTTTTTGATGGTTCAGGTGGTGAACCGTATTGCGGAACGTATATCGATACCAGCTCAAGAGTAGCACATTAAACTAGTTACAAAGGCATTAAGGATTTCTCTATCTCTACAGTTTTGCTGATCTCCATTGCGCAAGAGACTTACTATCTTTCCATAAATACGAATAACTATATGCTAAGTTATTCTTGTATGAGCGGTACACACTATGCTGAAGCCTAAAGCTATGTATATCACTCTACTGCATCGTTACTATTTTTTCACTCAATAACGCGGTGATGTTAAATGGTGAAAGGCAACGTATCACCGTCTTTGTTGTCTAGTCTGAGGTATCTTACTCTCTGCCGTACAAATACATGGACGTTCCGGTGGGAAATTGATACAGATCTCAAGTAATGCACAATATAGTTCGCAAGGTAATTTAAATTGCAAGGTGTATGAGCTTGTTGTAGATTTAAGTCTTGTAATTTATCAATCTAAGCTAAGTGGAACCAGATACAAAGAGCCTAATCACCATGAACCGCATTCAACTATTAGCAGCACGACAGTAGCCTTGTGACTAACGTGAGAACTTAGTTAGTTAAGTGGAAACAAAGAAAACAAAAAAGAGTGACTGAGTTCGAAATAAGTTATGACAAAACAAAAGTGAATAAGCTGAGTAGGAGCCTTAGGCCCGTTCATAAAAGCCGAGAAGGAAATGTGATAGCGAGTGAAAAGGGTTCGGGCGAGTTACAGCATCGACAAACTAATACCGGTAGCCATTTTAACCTCCACGAGAGTGGCCCCCATGGGTGTTCATGTTTCCAGTTAGGACCTTGAACAAAGCAACAACAAACATGAACAGGATCAAGCACATGGTCCAGTACAACGCCCTGCAGCAGCGCCCAAGAAATCGCTGCACAGAATCGTAGATACCCAAGGCAGTGTTCACGACAAAGTCCTTCAAGCAAACACAGCAGAACATGATCAGGAAAAGGAGGGGCAGAGTGTTGGCAAAGTCAGACACTGGGGGGTTGGCCATGGTGAGTATTGTGTGAGTGGAGGGTTGATGTTGAGGGATATTGGTGGGATCGCGGTTGTGACTTTCGTGACTTACAGATGCTGGATCAGAAGAGAGTTCCTTGTTTGGATGGATGATTGTATGCAGAGTGGTGGTCGGGTCCAGCTCTATATACACCCTCGATTTGCCGCAATATTCTGTTAAAGTGTAAAGGAACATAGCACGGTAAGGTCGCTAAAGCAGAACACAACTGCCCCTTTTCCCAAATAATAGTTAACCTTGTCATGTCATCTATTCTGAATCTCTGGGCGATGGACATACCACACTGTCCATGGTGAACAAGATCTTGTTCTTCCTTGCAAAAGTTTCGATTTATGTGATAATAGTATCGATCACTAAACGAAGCGATCAATTGGTGTGTTCTAATATTTGTGGACTGTTGAACCTGTGAACAGACCCTGGGGCAGAACCCCAGATCCCGACCCATTCTCTATACCATGATGGGATGCCCTGACATTTGGGCAACAGACAACATCAGGGCCGATGTATTCATTAACAGAATACTGAGTTTGTCGTAGATAAATGAAACAACGTTAGCTTGGTGCTCGAATCTCAGTTTCAGAAACTCGGCTTGGCCTCGAATATCTTCGAGTAACTTTTATCAGTCGTCTGGATGACTTACTGAATAATACCAAGAACGTGTAGTAAAGGATATCCAAGGTTTAGAAGTAGCTGATTAACTTTGGCGCCTCAGAGTCAGCATGGCAAGAGAAACTGTAATCACTTAGAGTTTTCTCTGTTCGTCATATATATCTTACCCCGCCTGCCGCACCCTTCTATTTCGACTGACATTTTCTCCCATATTCTCCCCCCACCATTTTGCTATCGCCATGGCGTCGGACGCATTGGAAGCCTTGGAAGCATTGGATGGCTTTAGCTACTGGGACAGTGATGGCTCCATGACTGCTCCCAAAGATAGTTTCATTACTCTTGACAAACATCTTGGGGAAAGGCATAACATCGTCGCGTATCAGGAATCATTACCCTTTCTTGTTTTGGAATGCCACGGCGGTCCGCCTGACGACCCGCCATTTTCCATGGCTGGGGCCATTGCCATTTGGGGAGATGCCGAAGACGGCTTCTTCTACCCTCTCGTCGGAGACTTTGCGGATGGCGAGGATATCGAAGTCGAGGATGATATCATTGATCAGATTGTCCCGGTGGATATACCTTCCAAAGACATGATCCTTCATCTTGCCAATCTTTGGCCTGAGTGTCACGGCATCGCTTTGCTATGGGATTACCTGGTAGTGGAGCTGCCTCTTGTCAGTGCAGAGCATCATTCGGAACGGCTACAAGATCTCCCCGGAGGTATCCATGGGTGTTTTAGGATCCAATACAACAATGGCCCGTTAGCAAATGCAGAGAGCTCACGCGCGCCAGATCTCAACCCGGGTCACGAGAAGCTCTTTAGAGCCGCTGATCACAAACTTGGGGATCTGTTCCTTGCCGATTATGCCACTGGAGTGACACAAACAGTATGCTACTTTGGGCGACGATTCACTTTCGGCCGGAAAAGGGATAACCCTCACGATTTGGAGGTAGGAACAAGCCAAAGCAAGGATTCAGATAATGGCGTCAAGTATATCGCTTCTGACCAAGCTGCCTTTATGTCAAACACGCCTGAAATCGCAACGCGCTACGCGGCGTCTGTGCCTCTTCGGAGTCGCAATCAATCACTCCAACAGTGGCGCCAGCCTCCACAGCTGTCTGCAGAGGGATGCGGCATTCTCCATTTGACCAATGGTCAATTGAGGAACAGGCACCGACTCGACACTTTCATCATGTACGCCGACTCGTATGATACCGAGTATCATTAACAAAGCTGAATGGATTGTGGTGGAGGTGTCAAGCCCACGCCACCAATGACTACAACTCAGTCTCTGGTCGCATGGGAAGCAGGAAAGTCTATCTCGGGCGGTGGTGCACGTGGTGGTCGTTGCCTAAAGTGTGTTTTAAAATGTCTGATTTATTAGAGTTGTCGGGCTATAGCCCTATCGTTCCATAGCCAATAGCTAACAGCCCTTGACATCACTACAAAGTTCAATATTTAGGACTCGTGACATCTAGCACAGAGCCCCGCCTCTACTCAGTATCTGAGGGACAAACCAGTGTTTGAGAAGCATTGGCGTTGCAGACTCTGCCGCCACATTTCGCGTGGTCACAAACGCATGCAAAGGAACCATGTATCAATTTAGCTTCTACTCACCGCGCGACTTCGTTAATGTTTTCTGAAGTCGATCAGTCTTTGTAGAGGTAATATCTTCGCCTGAGGCAATACAAAGACGCTACCGCGCATTAGATCGCATACAAAGCACCTAGATAAACACGGTACCATAATCTTATTATCTGTTTTCTGTCGATAAAGGGTCTTTGTGCCATGCTTCAACTATTAAATATCTTCATCGGTGGGAGTTGATTTGGCACGAATGGCTGGGCGATACATGAAGAGCGAGCTGGGGTGATCTCTAATCTGAAGTGGCTGGTATTCGACGAACTCTGGCCTCTGTGCTCACTAACTTGACTTGCAACACCAGATATACCTTATTCCCCAGATCGCGTCAATAACAAGGAATGCGGAAGATGCTTTGCGAGTCAGAAATTATCACAACACGTAATTTCCGGAATTCGGGTAATCGTGCCAAGATGCAAGGGAGAGCATTGGCCCACTATCAGGTCAACTATTGTTTATGCATAAAGAGGTGAGACAGGACGTTGATAGGGCTAATGTGAACAGGTGTTCAAATGTGGGGCCAAGCTGTTTATCGCATTCCTTGCATTGAGACAATTATACCATTCGGACGGAGACTTGAACAAATGCTCCTTGCAGAGGAGGCTGGCTGAGACTTACTACGAAAGCCACATGGGAAGGGAGGATGAAGAAAGGGGGATAAAGAAAGACCTTGGGCCTTTCTGTCGCACCATCTTGTTCTTCCATTAGCAATGTCCTAGAAAATCAACAATGTCACAAGACAAGGTGTCAGCGCGACTTTTGACGGCGGCTGTCTTCATAACCGGAATACTTGTCTTTCTTGCACTTCCCTTCCTGCCAGGGAGGCCAAAACCCCATGTCGTGAGGCCAGTGAAGATTTCGTTTCAGGCGGAGGAGCCGAATGAGCCGAATGAACCAAATGAGCGTTTCCTTGTCGCATTGTGAGCATCATCTTGGATTCGCAAGATTGAACAGTTTGCTGACACCATGGAAGTGGGGATTCCTACAGTCGCAGCGGCTTCCGAACAAACTACACGTATACTAGGACCGGACCCGGAGTGGACGACATGCAAAGGACAGAAAGACCAAAAGGCGACCGTGTAGAGGCACCCAGCGCGTTGAATCCAATTGGTAATCCAGCGTTACCAGGAAACACATCGTCTGGTGGTTACAACTGGGCTACCTACATGGCGACTGAATTTAACACTACGCTGACTCTGGCGTATATCTTTGCCCGATCAGCGGCAGTAGTGGACGGGTTGATAATACCACCGAGGAGCACAAAAGCGTTCTCATTTGCGCAGCAGATCGTTCACTTTCAGGATGCAATTGGCCATCGACCTCACTACGCGGCCTGGACGTCCAAGAACATAGTGGCGACAGTCTGGTTCGGGTTCAACGACTTGTCTGTTGTGTCGCACAAGAGAGGCCAGGGCGCTGTACTGGCGGCTGCAAACCGACGTATCTTTGAGCTATCCCAGATCCTCTACGATACCGGAATTCGTAATTTTGTCTTTATCGAAATCCCACGTGAGTAGTCTTTTCTCTTACCTTGTTCCATCTAACGAGTATGTAGCCAAGGAATTGTTTCCTTCGCATCAAGCACACAAGAACAATGACACGCATCATAGCTATGAGATGGTCTCCTACGCTGTGAATCGATGGAACAGCCTTCTAAGGCAAAACACTGTTCGCTTTCGAAAGGCCCATCTGGATGCAAAGGTCACGTATGTAGAGATATGGGACATATTCTATGAGGCTTTCCTACGGCCCCAAGATCTGGGTGCACCGAACTCAACTTGCGTCGACCCCAGCGGCAAAGGTTGTGTAAGTTATCTTTTTATGCAGAGCTATCTTCATGTACTGGCTTCTTCAAGCTATGGGCCAATACAGGGCATCCCGGAGAGAAGATTCATCAGCTCATTGGCGCTAGAGTAGCTGAAAAGGCCTGGGGATAATGCTTCTATATAGACTACAGCTTGTTATCTTCCAGTTGTAGGTACATATTAACTTAAAGACATTACACACTGCGTTATCCCAAGTGTTACTTGGAGTACTGTTTCACAGATCACGCTATTTCGTCCTTGGATAATTTATATAAGCGATATTGCAATGTTGACTTGTCCTTTTGTTGTAGCCTTGCTAAAGTTGACTGCTAGAGAAACCGTACAACTTCAAAGAGGTTGCTGAATTAACCGTCCGCATTGATCCATCACTTCCTCCCACCGAGCACCTCCCAGGTTCCACGTCAACACCTGAAACCCCAGCTTCTCAACGATGCTGAAGTCTGGTTTCGGAGCATCAAAGATATAACAAGGACGGTCGGTGTATCTTAGACCTTCTTGTACCGCGTCATCATACCTCTTCAACCCCTCGATCAAACGATTGCCTGGGGCAATAGCTTCGTAATGCATGCATACCAGTTGCAGATCGACAGCGTTTTCCTCTGGCGTAGCCCATTCCCCAGGATCTAGGTATCTCCAGTGATCGCAGGGCTCATGTACCGGGCACTAATTTGCCTTGCTATGGCGAATGCGGAATCTTGTGGACTCTGGGTCTCCACTAAATCTAGTGATGAAGCCCCAGGAGAAGCTTCTTCTTGATTGCTCGGCTTTCTGCACCTGGCAATATCGAGAATCGAGGTACGGGTACTTTGTATCTTTGTCGCCGGGATTGATTAGCATAGTGGCCTTGCTAGGTAGAGGCTGAATAGCCTGCTGGGCCAGCCCCCATTCGAGTTGGGCGATTATGGCCCGATCATTCGCCAAGTCATTCAGTAACTTCGGCTCAGCCTCCCGGACGCATTGCAATATTTCCTCAAGAATATTCAGTCTCGAGAACATATATGCAAAGGATTGTTCGTCTTGTAAGTTCCACGCTCAATCTCCTTGGTCATACCATCTTCGATTGTTTTTCTGTGGTCCCTGAAGATCGAGATCTTGTTCTCCAATTTTGCCGCTTTGTCGGTTAGATATTCCATTTTTTGGCCAGTCGCAGGATAACAATACAAGGACTGACTACCAGGAAGACTCGGCTACTTGGAAATACAGCCAGGCACTTACTTAGCTCAGTTGCTAGTTAGCGGTTGCCTAGGAAAGGAACCCTTTTATACATGATAGTCGCATCAGAACGTCAGATTAAAATCAGGTGATAAGTGTTCAGCTACAAAGTGTCGTCCTTGTTAACAGCAGTGAGAAGGAACAATTACTTCAAGGACTTTCTCGTAAGGATCGTTCATCCGAATAATAGCTCGCTATCTTTGTCATCGCGGGCACTAGGCAGCGAACACGAGATACGGAACAGTGGAACAAAACTCAGGTGATGCTCCAATCGGTCAGTAATGAAAGCTGTACTGAATGAGCTGGGGCAATGGGACCAACAAATGTATAAATTCAATAGCTGCTAGACTTGGTATTTGAGAAAAGAGAGAAAAATTAGAATTAAAAGAATGATTGGCCTTTCGTTATGGTATTTTAGGTCTGTGCTGCTGCGTTCAGGTACATGTAATCCTTATCTGCTTATCTGCTCTCCGCTATGACCCCACTGATCCGATTACGTGAACCTGAATCCAGGCCAAGAAAACACCAAAATCCTACCTAGCATCATCAACGCATCGATTCAACATCCAAAATCCAAGTAACATTGATCATCAAGCACCTCTTGTCGACTGGACGCGAAGTTCATTCAATGACTGCATCTCGAGATGAGCACTACAGTCCGCACGCAGAACAACCCCAGCCAGACGCGTCATCTGCATGGCCCCGTCTGTTTCGCGTCATCGTGCCATTTGTATCGCCCCGCGTCTACTAGACTAATCAACTGCAGACAGCCGACATAATCTCGTTGTCGCCCGCGGCTGAAGAAATTAGTTACAGCAACCAACCGCCCGCCCTTCTCTTCCTCACCAACATTACTCATTAGTCATCAGCGTCGCGCAACTCAACTAGCGCGACTTGTCGACACGATGGCGCAGAATGAGAGTGGCACGCCGAAGGGGGACTCGGCCGACATGGATGAAGTTGTCAGAAATCATCGAGATTCCTCGGTTGAGTCCTGCATCGTCCTAGCTATTTCGACAATCGTCGCTCCAGCTCAAACGAAGCAAACCTCAAGTTCTGAGGCATCTACTAGCAAGGAGGATACTACGCGACCAGTGGAGGAACCAATTAAATCAGAACCAGAAGACCCTCCCGACATGCTGATGTCGTTGTCGACGGTTGAGCCCTCTGACCTGTGCGAAGCAAAAACTCCCGAACCACTGGACATTCCTTGCTACGATCAAACGCAACAGAAATGTGAGGCGCCACCAGTTTTATTGAACTACGACATTTCTCAGCAAGAGTTTGAGAAGCCCACAGTAGAGGAGAGGCCAGATATACCTGTAACGGAAGATACACCAAACTCTATACCCGATTTGAGCTTGAAAAGGAATGCCCAGAAGGCCACAGCTACATATCTCGAGACAATGGCCGTTGAGAACAAGATTGCCAAAGAGGAGGAACTACAGAAGAAGCTACAGGAAAAAATGGACTACAACTATAATGCCATCCTCGATTGCGATGTCAGTATTGGCGTTGAGCGGCGTGCAATCAGCAGAGCAAAAAGCAGGAGAAGGCCATTCTGGATCCCATGGTTTATGGAACGTCAACGCTACCTTACGTCCAAACGCAAGAACCTTCTGAAGAAGAACGCTGAGATGGAGGGAATCAGGAAGCGGCGCTGCAAGAAGCTGGAGGGGCTGGTGTCTGAAAAACGGAGACTTGCGGAGGAGCTAACTTATGACATCTCAACGAGACATATCAAGCCAATATAATACAAAATCCTAGTTGACTTCAGTTTTTGGAAGGCAATATGTACATAGCCCTAATAAATAGTAAAATGGCGATTTGGTCAAGACAGTTTCGGGAAAACATGGACCTGCTGTCCTACATCTACGGAGTCTATCTCATACAAAGATGCGAGTTACTGTGATTCGTCTGCCACAATCGCTTTAAAACTGCATGGAAATCCCCAATCGATTCGCACAAAGCGAGTCACAACAGCCCTCAAAGAGAAGAAGCTCTAGGGTGAGTTGATTATAGTGAGATTTGACTGAGGATCCTGTGGTCAGGATAACATTCAAGTCCATGCTGAATACTTCCCCTGAAAATCGTCCTGCTCGTCTCACCTAAAAAAGAAACCGCTTGCGCGGGTTTTTTGAATGGCGTCAAACCAAACATACGCCATTTTGCTGTACCCATCATCGTTGGGATGGGTGCCATCCATCAAATCATCGAGTTTGGGGCCTTTGTTACTGTACATATCTGCAAGGACTATCCTTTTCCGCTCGGCTTCCTTCAGCATAACGAGATCTCGGAGATGGTTATTAATGTTCAGAACTCTCGAATTGACTTGCTCATCCGCGTTTAGTAGTAGCGTTGATAAGATGACGGTAGAGAGGGGAGAGGCCTTCCAAAGATATTCGAGAAGATTGTCCATTCGCTCTCGGAAGGCGCCGAGCTCATGGCTCTGGATACAGTCGTTGGATCCGGCGTTGATTGTGAAGAGGTTCGGGTTGACAGTCGCGAGCGATCGTCTCGCTCTACTCTCAATCTGGTCAAGTCGATAGCCACGCCACCCTTCATGTTCATTGTTATGCATCGACCCAGCCCTGCGTGAACCAACCATGCAGACTTGATAGCCATTGGCAAGAAGAAGATCTCGCAGGACTTTCCTGTATCCATTCCCATCTGAAGATCCAACGCCATATGTAACTGAGCCTCCTAGCGGCATTAGGCGTAGTGTCACATCTGGTGACGTTGCCCGTGTGCTGTTATGAATGGCAGGCGCTTGGCCAATGATGGTGTGGTGTCGGGAAGGGCATTGCCCTGCGCGAAAGATGTGGCATGACCGAGATAATGATGACCGCAACAGCATTGTTTAGGCGGCAAGGAAAGCAGATGGGACGGGCTAGGTTCCTAGGTGGGAGAAGAGGGGCCAAAGGTCCCAATTGTATAAATGTCCTCATCGACTAGACCAAAGCATTTACCTATTAAAGGACAGCCATATAACAGTCAATGAACGGATTAGCAAGCAGACTTAAATGTACGCGATTGTAACATAAAATAATGAGCGCAGATAAGCAAAGAATAGGCCAATTCTCTTTCTTGTTTCCTCTTTCGATGAGTAACAAGAGGTCATGGGTGTCGAAAGTTGGGGAAATGCTGGATATCATTAATAAGCTGGGCGGGGACCTGGTCACGACGCCGATGTCCAATTAAATTGACTGAGATCAAGCTCGTCAACCCGACTCCTCCAAAGCCAGCCTTTGGGAAGACCAGCGCAGCAATTCGGGCTCTGCTGCCACACTTTTCGCTGGGAAATGCAAACTCGTTCGGCTGGACACATTGGTGACAATCTCCAGGGCTGGCATATGGATCCTAGACTCAAATGCGGCACTGAATGACTCATCAAGAACGCCTCACTACTGTTGTGTCGAAAGTGGCTGTCTCGGCCACTACGAGACGTGACCGAAAGTGGGGTCCCCGGAAGAATGACACTTCGCCGAACCTACCAGCTACATCAGTACTTCCTGGCCAGAAGGTGGACGTTAAGGCTGCAATGGCACATGATGAGGTGAAACCACTTACAATTATCATTTGTTTGGTCTGGGCTGTTGGTGGGATGAAACCCGGAAGCATGATCAATTGTAGGAGGGTGATACATATGATGTTTTACCTTTCATATTATATGGGATACGGCAGTGCTTTCAAAATGACTAACGTGCTTGTAATTGTTTCGGCACGAGCATAACAAAAATCCTCCTTTGTCGTTCTCTCCAGCTTCTTATATCTACCGTACCCAGACCCCATTCTCGTTATGGTCAGCTTCACACTCCAGCCGTCATAAGTCGCAGGTCAATCACCTCGAATAAGTGTCATTCAACCAAGGCAGAGCATCCGACCCTATTAGCTTTGGCCTCCTCTCAAAGCTCTCACCGTAGCCATCTTGCCCAGCGCTCGGGGTATGGATATCACATAGCGGAGCAAAGTGATAGTTGATTGCCATGGCTAGTGCGGCCAAGTCTCTATTATCAGGATACGCATCAACGCTGATAATATTTGGATATGTCGATGCAGACATTGCTGGCCAGAGCAACTCAATGAGGGCTCGGTTAGCCATCTCGGCATTATGAATGAGAGGTTTCATTCGCTGGGTCAGGATCCAGGAGAGAAGAAATATCTTCGACTTTGGGGATTTCCGATGTTTTTTCATCTTGGTCAACTGATCGGCGGCCATCTTCTTCTGGGGTTTTGTTTCGGCGTAGTGGTCGACTAGAGGAAACTGAGATCGTTGGAAGAACCCCTTTTTTGCAAACGCAGAAACGTCGACTGGAGCTAGCTTGATAGACTCTTGGGAACCGTTGTAATATTTCTTATCGATGACATCGTCTATAATGATAATAACGGCTGCACGACCAGGGATGAGTTGGGAGACCCGGAGTTTCGTAAGGTCACGAACATAGCTCCGGTTCTCGACGCGGTAGTTGAGCTTTTCCAGCTTCGTCATAACCTCATTCCATTCTCTCTGGGTCATACGTGCGTTCTTTTTGCCTTTGAAAGTATCTGAGTTTAGACCGTGGCTAACATTGATGATGATAAGCTCCTTGTTGCTCTTGGTGAAAGCGTTCACGTCCGCAATGATCTTATCGAGGTACTCGCCATTGCCTCCATGCCAGTTGCCCCAACCAAAGCTAAAGTGGCCAGTTGCCCACTTGCCCCCAGTCTTGGAAGGACGGAGGTCCAGCCAGCGAGCACCGTTTTTTAGTTGCTCTGGGATGTGGAGCTTCTGATTTTGGGCGTTCGCGGGGGTGCCAAAAAACGACCGTCTATGGAACCAGGACATGCCTGAGTTGTGTGTTCCGGGTATGGCCAGCTCTCGCAGTGTGAGACACGCGATACGGGGGTAGATAGAGTGCATCCAGTCTTCAGGAGGGTTGCTTGAAACAAGCCACGGCCAAAGTGAAGGGTTTTTAGGATCATTCTCAGAGCTGGCGATGATAAAGGGAACGTTGTTATCCCAATGCCATGCCAACTTGTGAAACGAACCTCGTTTGTTGTTGAGTGTCTTAAGCTTTGTGAATCGGATACCAGCCGTCTCGGACTTGTATTTGAACTCGAAATCAGGATCGCCAGGCAGGTCTTTGAATTTGTAGCTTGCTTCACCAGCATCGTCTTTGTGGCCTTTGCCCTGGATGTAGATTCTATTGGATGTACCTAGTACCCAATCAGTTCAGCCAATCTAACGACAAGAATAGTGGTTCTTACCTGGCTTGATGGTTTTGGGAAACTTGAATTGATTCATCTGGTAGCTTACGTTTCTAGACAAGGTCATTTTCCAGGGTGTCGCGTTGACAAGAAGGAAATATGACCCAACCTTGTCACAACGGCGCTCAAGTCGTTCCAACACATGATTCCCCGCTGTTCCAACATTTGAGCCAGAGCCAGCATCAATGGAATGGGTATCTAGCTCGGTTGGCGGTGCAGCAACGGTGAAGCTAGTTAAAAGGGAGACATACAACAAGAAGCGATGTAGCATTATGAAGTAAATCGAACGCTAGAATGAAAAGAGGAAAAAGATTATTCTGGTAAGTCACAGTCAAAAGCAAGAATTGAAGACACATAACTGGGAGGGAGGGCATCGCCGTCTTTGAGGGAGCTCATTGTCATTTTAATAATGTTTTCCGTGCCCCGATTGACTTCACCAGCACCCACTTTTGGGAGATCACGCTTCTTATACTGCAGGCCAAAAGGCTAAAAACGTACGCTGCCAGGATGGTGATGAGCACATGATATTCTTTTTCGCAGCACCAAATTCTGCCCAAAAACGTGCAGAATTGGCAAAGCCGCAATTTACCGCGCTGGTACAACGAAACTGTCGCACGATTTGATCACATTGGCAAATTTAAATTGATCATGCTTCAAGCCACCAGAGATATAAGCGGCAATTGATGGCGCGAAGATTTGTAGTAAACGCGTGGGGGTAGAAAGAATGACTGGGCGCGTAGATTGCAGGGCCCTGGCTGTCATTTGGTGGTGGAGGGGGACTCATTGCAAGCGTGACAAGATTGAGGGGTTGAAGGAAGCCTCAGGCCCCGCAAAACGGCCAAGAACTTAAATTTGGATGTTTGAGTAATGTACTTCGTGCCGTGGCTGACACGCAAGACGCGGAAAAGTCAATCTGCTGGAGCTGAATGGCAGTCCATGATCGCATTTCCAGTCAAAAAAGCTTCAAGGAATGACCTGAGAGGAAAAATACACAAACGTTGACGAGTTTGGCCTGCTGAAAAATTTAACAGCTTATGACTCTATTTCTGTCTTTTTTAAATTTAACAACGTTAACTGGCCAAGCTATCCAACTTTCCCAATAAGAACCTAGCAAATTATTAACTACTTCTACAATATCATATCCCCATCCTTCTATAAACCAACAGTCATCAAGTGCATGCAATATACCTCCATAGAATGCATATAAGATCAAAGCTGGGGGCTGTCTCTGATGAAGCAATGGAAAGTATTCCTTGGGGGCTAGACCAACAAACGCAAAAGCTCCTTGCCAAGATCTATCAAGATCCCCAGTATGTTTAGTGGCTTTATCAGAAAATTGTTCCATAAAGAACCGACATTGCCTGAGAGCCTGAAGAGCCTTTTCATATATCGGCGCATCATTACTATTCTCCCAGATGCTCCTCAACTTACAGAATTGCTCATCTTCAGCATCGGTGGCTTCATCAGGCGGTTGTATTTCTTCGAGGTTCCCGACCGACAGGATGTTTTTTAAGGACGTGGAGCTTGGGGTCTGGAAGTACTCATACGACTCCAAAACCGTAACAATGCCTAAAATCATTGGTATAAATCCTAGGCCAAGGATGCGATCCCCTCGAGTACCCCAGTCAAGGTTGTCACATAGACTTTCACCCAGTCGGCCAGAGACACCAAAGACATATAACAGATTCAGGGACGACCAAACAAACAAGGCCTCAGATATGCTATCGTCGCTCTGGGCTATAGCTTCCCTAAACCCTTTCAGGCCTTCGTTATGGTAATGAGCAGCATTAGCGATATACCGAAGCCTCCTTTCAGGGTTGAGATACGCCATATGAGCAGCAGTTAGACTGAGAACAGCCTGCATGACAAAGGGGTGCTGTAATGCTAATTGAGAGAATCCGACTTGGCAATCAGAAGCTAAGCTCGAATTCTTATAAATATCCAGACTAGTGTAAAGAGTCCAATGCTGGAAAAGGGCCATCTCTTCAATGCTAAAGATGACGGGAGCTTGTTCGCATAATGGCGTCGTGGTTATAGCAGGGGATGGAAGTAGAGAGAGATTAGGGATTGATGAGGAAGGATGACATGAGCACTGGCATTGGGACTGGTTGAATGGCTGTCCGGGTGTTGAAGTTGAAGTTGAAGCTGAAGCAGGCGAGGCTTCATCGGCGTGTTGGCTAACTGGCGAACGGCGAAATATAGATTGTGGGTATTGGCATTCGACTCCCCATCGACGACAGGCACGACACTCCGGTTTCTCTTCGCTGCACTGTTGTATCACCAAGAGTTAGCAACACTTTCCGACATTACAGCATATTCGCCCCCAAAACCATATGTAGTGACGCACTTACTTTAACCCGGCGTCTTCTGCAATCCAGACATCCAGACTTTGTTTTCGTGTGTGGTCGTCGCGGTATCGAGACGACGACCGTGGATTCGACATCACTAGTCTGCGTACTCATTGCGACGAAAGCATAATCAACGAACTAGCTGAAACAACCTCGAAGGGTGTAACTGAAAGCGATGGGATCCGCGTAGCGAAAGTTTGGTAGGGGGGTCGGATGGAGGCTAATGATGAGATGAGATAATTTCGTGTGTGCGCGCGGTGGAAAGCGAGAAAAGAAGACCAGGAGCGAGGTGTTGTTGAAGTGGGTGACGAAGCTATTAGATAGGAGACTAGCTTGGAACTGGGCGAGGTAGAGCGAGGTGGAGTGAGATTGTGACTTTTGCGGGATAAATAATTTACCGAGCTTATTAGTCTGTGTCTCCACAAAAGAATGGATTTCATTTTTGTACGGAGTGCTAGGGTAGATCACCATAGCGCAAATGTGTTGGCAGCTTCTTCATGCTGCCACAGAGTGATTCAATTCGAATAAGAGGGATAAGTTCTAATTTATGCAATGGCTTTTGGAGAATCGGGAAAATTCTCTCGGCGTAGTCTTGATCTTTTCCAGGCGGCCACCCGCAGGACATGAAAGTGCATGCAGGTCGCCACCAGCGTATCCAGTGCGATGTAGAAGCTTAAGTGGTTGTCCAAAAAGAACGTAACCAAAGAAAAAGCAGTGTAAATAAGAAAAGGAGATACAAATAGATCCTTCCCACAACGCCAAAAAGCGTTCATCTTATGCCATGCCAATCCAACTAGGCATCCTTTACTGCGATTCAAGTTCCACGGTGTTGAGAGATGAGAAAACACCCCCCTCAGAGTCTGGCTTCAGTAATTGTGGTTGAAGGCTTTCGAAATACCACGCAACCAGAATAAGCATGACAACTGCCATCAAAATTGCATCGAAAATATATAAGAATATCTCGTGGGAGATGAGATACCCAGCATTGCCCTGCAGATATTCAACAACCCTGAAGATGCTACGGATAAGAATAAGAAGACTTGAAACGTAAAGGACATGAAAGTGTCGCCTCCAAGGTGTAGTGACGTTCAATGATGCAGCATTATGGGATTGGTAGAGTTGATAACGGTAGTGGAATAGGATAGATGTGCAGATAAAGAAGCCAAAAAAGGCTATCTGCACAAATAAACCAGCAACAATCATCTTCTCACCTATTCTAGACATGTCTAGAGTTCCCCCAGACTGAACGCCTCCACCACCTGCTTGGAGAGTAAAGGCAATAACATCGCCGGTCACGAAAAGGCGGGTAACCCATTGAACAGGCACTAATGACAAATGCACTGCATCCAGAGTTCGAATCAATCGGCCGAGGATCATATAAATTGAGGCAGCAAAGAGGGCGGGAGCAACCAGAATCGGGATAGCTTGGATAACATAACCAGCAATTGACTCCTTATCGTAGTGGCCCCATATTCTGCCGGCATACCCAACGACTTCGACTGTAATATGTTAGCTCGACCAAGGCACACGAATGGCTCCAATGTCAATGATGACCTACAAATGCCTCCAATAGTGAACGCAGGAAAGTAATATGCGCGCGCTCGAAACAGGCGCCAAAGATGAAGACCAGTAAGAATTCCAAAAATAACCACGCTGATGATTGCAGCCGCAAGGGAAGGAGTGTAGCGGTAAAGCTTAAAATCGTACTCGTCGGCCATTTTCGGTAGTATTCGGCGAATGGCGATGTTGCTGCTTCGATTACACCGTATGGGATGGGCTCGGTAGCTTGAAATGAGTGATCAAAGGCGGGTGATGTGTGAAGTGTAACAGGGCGCGAACCGCTTAAATAATAAGACTCTTGCAAATCTAACAATGCCATTTTCTCTTTTGTTCATCAAACTTTCTTCAGGGCGATGCTGACGTAGGTCCAAGCCCCATCTCGCTCCTCAACAACATGCGTGAGCGAGGCTAAGCGAGATGCATATTAACACGAACGTGGAAATAGTTGGAATTTTAGCCCCCGGCCATTTCGACCCATAATGGAACTTCAACAAACAGACTTTTCCCGCCGGTACATCCGAAGCTAAACTAGACCAAGTGCCTGGCCAACCAGTTCTTCCATTTCATGTAGTCTGTGTCATTTACCAGGCACCGCTGAGGTCATCGAGAACAGGAGTGCTGAAACTTGGTCACCGAGGAACGCTTTTATCGTGTTTCAGTCTCTGATACCTACCTGTTTCTTAGCTTGTTAGTTATTCAAAGCATCTTGTATTTCTTTTATTACTCCGTGCCAATGACGTGCCCTGCTCTCGGAGTCGGCACGCAATAAAAGGTACCCGCTTCATCGAAGATAACAAGAGAATGGTGATTGACTCTCTCCATTACGAGAAATTGAAACTTGTATAATTCTACGGGTGTGATGCATAATGAAGGCTCGCCGTTGGCAGATAGAAATGAGACGAAAGGTGGTGAGGGGGACTTTTGCGCAAGGTCCACTGCTTGAGTAGACCAGAGTTGGGAGACGGCCGACTTACCTGTACCCTGGTACAACTTGTGAAAACGTCTAGATGTAGTACCTATCCCTCATAACAAGCTCAGATCGCATCGTTCCTGTTGGCTTCGAACTCCAGCTTTCGTAGAGCAGGTCTTAGAGCTTGTACTACACAGTCAACTTCATTGCTACTGTTGAGAGGGATGTGTGTGTATTGACTGTGGCTAACTAAGGTCTCGGGCCGGGAGGTCTGGCTAATATATAAGGTAGGTGCCTCAGGCACCTTTAACACTACCCCTTAGCCGGGCCATAATAGCACTGTAAGTAAAGCTATTTATAAGATAATAATTGCCCTTTTTCTTATTTTCTTAGTGTTTTTTACATTAGCAGTACTTACAGATTAAGCTATTAGATAAATTACCTATATAACTAATATATTAGTCTTTTTATTAGTCTATTTACTGCTATCTTACTTATCCTAATATACTATATATTAAAATAGCCTATTTCTATTCTTTAGATAATTTATTTATATTATAAATTAATATACTATATATATACCTGCTTATTTTTATTTAGGATATTCTGCCTTATATTATTTAAGTCTATAAATAGAAGTAGTAATATCTATTATATTAGTCTAGCTTCCCTTAGTATATTAAAAAACCAGAGCAGTATATATCCTGTAAAAGTAAGGTTTATAAACTTAGCTTTTATTATTAAAGTTATTATAAACGTTTACTTCTTGCTTTTCTAGAATACAGGTCTATTACTAATAAATATAATATACCTTGCTATAAAATATCTTATTAACTTATTGTTAGT